ATTTATTACTTTCTTCTCAACTTCTTAGTTGGAATTCTATAAGGAAAGCTTTTCTTTCTTTCCTATTTATGTATTTATTCTAATATTTATATTGGTATGGACTTAAGGGTTCTTATTTTATTCATTGGGTCATAATTTTGATGCTCAGCTCACATAGGTTTGGCCAGTGAGGGCCTTTTAAAGGGGCTTTTATGTGCTTTTGACATGTCCCCATCAGCCTTTTTTCTTTTACTGACAACAGGAGTTCTAGACTCGTCTTGTACATTCCCAGTACTGGCCCTGGATTCAGCCATTTCTCCAAAGAACTTAGGTTCTTTTAGTGGAAAATGGAATTTAGAAACCAAAATCTAGGTGATAGATATAATTGCTTTAGGTCTTTTGTATACATATCATCTGTCTGTCTGTCTGTCCATCCATCCGTCCATCCATCCATCTATCGTCATACTAATACTTCCAATTCCAGTCTCATAGTGCAAGATTCCTTCTAGCCATCGCTCTATTTTTATAATTCCTTCCATTTCCAGGGAGAAACCTGGCTCCTATCATCTACGATATATATATTCATTTCCTAGAATACAAAAAAAATAGTTTCAGGATTGCTAGCCTATGCTACTATGAAAAATAAATCTACTCACTAGAATTCAATGTTTGTTTATAGTTCCTTTTTTTGTCTTTAGCCTAAGCATTTCTAATAGCATTTCTATTATTATGAGTGAGGATGAATATCTTTTCAATGATTATATCTAGCACCTAGCTTTTGGTATACTCAAAAGTCAGTATTCAAAATTTACTTGGATTATGTTATTAATTTGAAATACAGTTAGGTTCATTTTCTTCAGTTTGTATTCCATTTTAGGGGTTTTAAAATATCTTCCTTGATTTTTTTTGAGTGTATGCAATATGCTTCCAATAGTCAGAACTATACAAAAGGCATACTTAGGTAAGTGTTATTTCCCTATATACTTTCTTCCAGTTTCTTCTCCGCCCATCTTTTCCACTCTAGTCCCAACCCACCCTCTATTGGTAACTAATTTTGTCAGTTTCTAAATTGTTCTTGCTGTTTCTTTTTGCACAAATGAGCAGATATATGCATATTTTCTTATTTCTTCCAATCTCTTTCATAAGAATAGCATATCACATATTATAATATGTACTTTGCTTTTTTCATTTAACAATAGAGCCAGAAAAATCGCTCCACATCATTCCAAAGAGCTCTTCCTGCATTTTTACCTCTGTGGAGTTTTTCATGTATAGATTGGCCATAATTAATTCAATTATTTTTCTACGCATGGTCACTGAGGTTTTGCAATATTTTCAATTATAATTATGCAATGAATAACCTTGTGCATATATCTTCTTATTTTGGGAATTATGTATTTAGGGTAAATTTCTAGAGTGGAATTGCTGGGTCAATAGGTAAACACATAGGTACTTTTGCTAGATATTACCAAATTTCCCTCCAAAAAAGCTGTACCAATTTTCATTCTCACCGCTGATGTATGAGAGAGCTTGCTTCAACAGTCTTACCAATAGAATGTGTTATCTTACTTTTTCTTGCCAACATCATAAGAAATAACTTTCAGTGTAGTTTTAATTTGCATTTCTATTATTATGAGTGAGGATGAATATTTTTTCAAATATATATTTTTGAGCGTGTGAATTGTCTGTTCATGTCTTTTGCCCATTTTTCTATCAAAATTTTGATCTTTTTCTTCCTTCAGTTATTAAGAGTTCTTTATATGTTAGGACCCTTAGCTCTTTATCTGCAATATATACTGCAAATACTTTCTCCCACTTCATCATTTGTCTGTTGTTTTTGCTTGTGGTGTTTTGTGGCATGAAAATTTATTTTTGTTTTTAAATTGAGCCAAAGTAATAATATCTTCTTTTATTGCTTCTGGACAGTTACAAGCCTTCCCTATACTCAGATTGTACGGGAATTTATCACTTTCTTCTAACACTTGTACAATTTCACATGCTTCCATTTCTGTCTCTGATCCATTTGGAGTTTATTTTTGTGATTAGTCCAAGGTAAATATATAATTTTTATCTTTTTCAAATACCCATGCAATTGTACTAGCATCTTTTATTTAAAAGTCCTAGTCCTTTATGTAAAAGTCCTTTTCCTAGTCAGTGAGATGCCGCCTTTATCATATGCAAAATTTTCATATATTCTTGGGTCTATTTCTGGACTTTATATACCATTCCCAGAGTTAATTGTCTATTTATGTGCCAGTTGTATACTATGTTATACAGACTTTATAGTATGTGTTAATATCAGGTAAGGCCAATGACTCCTGATAGTTTTCCAGTTTTATTAATAATCATTTTTAAATGATTATTTTTCCATATGAACTGTAATATCAGCTTTTCTAGCTCCATAAAAACTTGTTGGTATTTCTACTGAGATTATATTAAATTTATAAAGTAATCTGAAGAGAGTCGGCATTTTTTTAAATGTTGAATTGTTCTGTTCTAGAGCAAGGGGTATCTTTTCATTTGCTCAAGTCTATTCTTGTGTCTTTCAGTAGCATTTAAAATTTTTCTTCATAAAAATTTTTACACATTTATTGTCCAGTTTAAGTGTTTTATCTTGCTATTGTAGGTGAGGTTTTGTCTATGGTTATATCCTCTAAATGGTTATTGTTTGTGCACATGAACCTTATTGATTGCTATATGTTAATTTATATACTATCATACTTATTCTTTTATTGTTTGTGATAGGTTTATCATTGATTCCCTAAGTATACTATTATCTACAAATGGAGGTGGTTTGACTTCTGCATGATTTCTTTTGTCTAAATGCATTGGCTGATACCTCCAAGGCAATATTAAATAGTGTTGAAGGTATTAAACACATACCTACACACATATATACATATATACTATACATATATAGTATATGTATTATATATATTTTAAGCATGTTACTAAAGTACTCATCATTTCCTTTTTTTAGTGTTTTTATCAGGAATGGGTGCTGACTTGTGTCAAAACCTTTTTAGCATCTATTGAGATAATCATGATTTTTCTCTGTAGATTGTTCAATATTATGTCATATATTAATGGATTTCCTCATATTGAGCAGACTTGTACCCCTGGGATGCACCTCACTTGGTCGTGCTGTATTATTTTCTGAGTATGTAACACTAATCTTAAATTTATAAATACTAAGGCGCTATGGCAGTGTCATTTAAATAATGATATCCCCTAGGGCACTTACTGAATTATAGATTTCTGTTGAACCTCTGAAGAGGGTCCCAGAATTCTACTTCCGACAGGTCCCCACAGAAGTGGTTCTTATGCACAGTGAGAACTAGTGGTCTACTGTATTGTTCAATGTGGATGTTTATGGGAAATTATTGCAAATATGTGTATTTTATCACACAATTTACCTTGTGATTTTTAAAAAAACTGTTAACCAATGTTAACATAATAAAAAAATTAAAGAAAAACTGCTTTATGTTTTAAAATTTTAGATTCTAAAGCATGAACCAGCTGCAGAAAAGTAGATGATACAGAGAAACCAAAAGCTAAAATATTAGCTGCCACTTGAATATCCATTCATTCATTTACTCACTTATTCAACTTTTTTAGCACTATGCAAAGATATACGAAGATGTATAAGACCTCTGCAACAGTAAGAGAAATAGAAGATTAAAAAATGTTTATAAAATAATATATTAAACATTACATTAGAAATATTTTCCAGTAATTTTATGGACATTAAGATCTTAAAAAAAAAAAACATGCTCTTCTCTTCTCTTCTGGACCAAAGAGGAGGTGATATTTTGTATAGAACATCTTTCTAAAATAATATTAACAAATGGAGAAAAAATTTATTTGCCAAACTCTCCTTTACATGAAACTGTTAGAGATGCATCTCTTATACATGATACACCAGTACACCAACACGTCAACTCTTGGCAAACACAGCTACAAAGATCACTTATGTATATAAGGGAAGGGTTATCTGTAAATGGAGGGCTCTCTGTATATAACCTATGAATGAATTTCTTTCCAAGATACCCATATTTAATAGAAACACTGAATAATGTCAATGGTTAAATAGAAAACATTAGTAATACACGGAAACTTCAGTAAATGGAACATGAACTACATTGGTTCTATTAATGTGCTTCAGATTCTTTTAAAGAAAAAAGATTTGTATCCTCTATTTGAATTCGTGATGGGTTGGTTCTACTTCATTTATTTTAATGTCGTACTTTCCTTATCCAAGACAACTACTATGTGGGAGAGGGACCGTAAACTCTTGTGACTAACACTCATGTCAGGGCAGTGATTATGGGTTGGCTTGATATGGAATGCATTTCTTCTTATCACATGAATGGCCCTCATATGGTGAGAGGGCAACAAATTAAAGTACAAACCTGGTACTGCTTGCTCTGAAGAACATTCTCCAAAGTCAAATGTAGTCAGGATTCTTTCATTGTCTAGTTTTAATAATTTAGAAGGAGGAGTGTTATTTAATTGACAGCATTTTTATTGACCTCAGAATCTGTAAAATGTAACTGCTGCTTTGTGCTGAATATGCTACAAAAGATGCATGCATCAGGTAGTTTGGACACACATCTCGCATTTGATTTAAACTGCAGCAGGTGTCAGCCAAAATAGATACCAATGTCCCACTGAAGTCTTGGGGCATTTACTCTGGCTCAGCTTTAATTATCACTCTTCAGCAGTTACTCACGAAATCGCTAAAATAAAATGTTCATACTGAATATATTTTTGGATTGCCTCAGCAAAGGGAAAACATAAAAAGCACTTCAATGTGATTTTTTTTTAATGTATATTCATCCAGATCAACAGCATAAAACTCTTTAGATAGCAAAAATAGATCCTTGGTCAATTCTCACACATATATTATACTATCTATCCTTAACAACCTGTTTAAGTAGTATATTTGTTTTGATAAAATTTAATGTGCCTTTATTGAGCTTGGTCATATTAATTTTAATAATTTCTTTTTAAATTTACAGTTGGCAATCAGTGGATAAATTACATATCATTCTGTGGTCTTCGAACACATGCAGAGCTTGAAGGAAACCTGGTCACTGAGCTTATCTATGTCCATAGCAAGTTGCTGATTGCTGATGACAACACTGTTATTATTGGTAAGTAGATGGTCTCTAATTACACTCCATGCAAAAACCTTCCTTTCTATTCCTCCTAACCTTCCTTTGCAGTTGAGAGGAACAGTAACCAATATCTAGATCATTTCTGAAGCAATCTCTTTCGCTTACAACCTTTCTAATCCTGGTTTTGATCTATGAAGAAACCAAGACACAGAGCAATTAAATGGCTGTTGTGCAGATTTCAGTGTCCAGAGGCAGTGGTTTAACCTAGTAGTGCAATAATCAGCCTGCTCTCTTTAATTCTCTATTATTCCCTTATTTTTATCTTGAATCCAAGTACCTAGATCTTGGGAATTGATGGAGCAGAAATGGGGAAGGAAAATGTGTCACAATTTGAGTACCTGCTTTTAATTTGTATGTGTCTGCACCACATCTGTTGAACCACTTCCACAGACCTGAAGTTGTCCAAGAGTCAGAATTAGAAGGATATTAAAATATTGTTGTCCTTATGCTTTCTGGTTTTTTCTCCTGGAGTCTATGTTTTGTGTGTCATTAATCGGGTGTGAAGTGGACTGGCTTTTTCGGTGTGAGCGCGGTGAGGGGGGTTGTGCAGTAATGACACGGTGTAGCCTGAGACCGAGCTCTGTGGTCTTTCCTTGTCAAGGATGCACAGTAGATTTCTTGAAAGTTCTCCCCCAATCACAGATTCAGAGGAGTGGTTTTACATCTACCCAGATTAATTAGCTTGACCAGAGGGGCCTATGTCCATCTTCATTGTTTTATAAACATAGAAAGCTTCATTTTCCTATCATTGAATTGTTTTGCTTTCTTTTTTTTTTTTTTTTTCCTTTTTTTTTTTTTTAATGCCTACAGCACCTGGTCTTCCTAGGCGGTCTCCCACCCAAGTACTAACTAGGCCCGACCCTGCTTAGCTTCCGAGAGCAGACAGGATCGGGCTTGTTTTGCCTTCTACTGTTATGTTACACACACACTGAAAGGCCGAGATGAAAAACAGTATTCATAAACAGGCAGACAACTGCATTGACAAGGGTCAGGGGATGTTACCTAGAGATACAATATGCCTTGTTGTTGGGGATTCTGCTCATTTGTTTTATAGGAAATGTAGTTTTTCAGCTATTATAAGATTCTCCCCTCTTCTTTAAGAAATTAAATGACATGGGGTGCTTTGAAAGTTTTTGGCATAAATGTGCCTTTTCCATCTCTATCCTCCACTGAGAAAAGAAAAAATCTTTTATCTAGGAGTAAGAAACTTATCTGGAACATGATTTGAAAAGAAAGAAAAAGTAGTTCTGAAGCCGGAAAATGTGTAGACCAAAGTGTAGTCTGTCTGTCTGTCTGTCTGTCTGTCTGTCTGTCTGTCTCTCTTTCTCTCTCTCTCTCTCTCATTCTCTTTCTCTCTCTCTCACTCTCTCTCTCTGCACATGCACACACACACACACACACACACACACACACACACACACACATATACACGCACACTTTTAATAGTTATACAGAGCATTTAAGAAAATATTGTATGCTTTTGATTTCTTGCTCATAGGGATCAAAGCTCTTTAGAGATTTTTTTACTCTTCCATCTTCCCCCTAATAACAAGGTTTCTCTTATTTCCCCCAAGCTACTCAGAAGCCAATCCCAGAATATTTTTATATTAAATTTGGCAATGACAGTATGTACGAGAAAATATTGATGTTTTCTGAAATGGAAAAACAAAGCACAATAAAATTCACTTGATCACTAGCAAGATTTCAGAACTCTTGAAGTAAAAATTGACAGATGTAAATATTTTCCTTTTAAAGGTCATTTTGACTTTCAGCTGGCTTCACTTTGCATAAAGTATAAATGCAAAGTAGTTTTCAATAACGGAGCTAACAGTTAAATAAATGCATTGAGTTTTTTAATTGACTTATTTTCTACAAAGGTCTCTGGATCCTCAAAGGCTACAATTTATTTGGTCTAGTAATAATCAATTTTGCATCTAATTTTTATTCACTCTTTTAAAACTAAAGATGTTGAAGTATGAAGAGGTCTTGCTTTAGTCTTTAGCAGCTGGATTTCTTTTTGTCCTTCCTCAAGGGCACCACAGATTTTCCCCATGGAAAATTGCAAAAGTGCTTTTGTTCTTTTTATCTCAGTGGAAACTCTTAAGACTAAGCAAGTTTGTTGTTGCTGCTCTCACATATCAACCCTGTTTACGTTCATAACAGAGAACAATGTTTAAAATTCTCAGAGGAGTTTGAGAAGTTAAATTAAGCATATTTTACAAACATTAAGCAAGTACCTAAAAGCCATTTCTTTGCTTTCTTAAACAAAACAAAGCTGTCCTTAAGTAGAATTTAAGTCTATCCTGTTGACTAAACGAAACGATTTTTTTTTTTAATGTTCACTAGTCCACTGCAAAGCACAATAGAGAGATATAAAACAATGCTTCTGCCCTACAGAGCCCCTGAGCTGGAGATAAAGGAGGTATCCTTTCTACCCGACACCACAAACAACAGCATACATATTGCAGAACTGGAACAAGAAGGTCCAAAGACAGTCAGCGAGGGTGGGTGGGTGAGAAACTATGCAGGCTTGCGAGTAGAGTAGCTCACGAGAGTCCATAGTTGAAGGGCTGCCCCAGTAAAGAGGGGTTAAACTTGATCTAGCCTCCTGGGTCTCAACCTTGGCTGCATTAGAATTGCCTAAAGAGCTGTAAAAATAATATATCATTTAGGGGGAAGTTTATTCAGGTCTGTAATTTACTTTAGACAAGATCCCCAAAAGATGGATTGGTGGATAGATAAAGGGATGGAGTGGTATTGGGAAATAACCAATGTCTGGTTTCTACCTGAAGAAATTCTGACTAATTGGTCTAGTTTAGGGCCCAGGCATCAAGGTATTTTTTTGTTCGTTTGTTTGTTTTTGGAACCGGTATTTTTAAAAAAACTTTTTTGTTGATACACACATTCGGAGCTGAGAACTTCTGAACTGGAGGCACAGGGAACACAAGTGGGTGGAAAGTACAGAGTAGCCGATATGGGCTCAATAGAGGAATCAGTTTTCCTTTAATAAACTAAAACAGGGTACAGATGGTGTATTAGTTGTCTATTACTGTTATAACACATGGCCACAAACTTTAGTGGCTTAAAACAGCACAAATTTATTCTAACATGGCTCTCACTGGGCTAACATGAGGGTATCAGCAGGGCTGCCTTCTTTTCTACAAGCTCTGAGGAAGAATACATTTCCTTGTCTTCTCCAGCTTTTAGAGGCTGCCACATGCAGGGCTCCCTTCTCTAGCTTTGAAGGCAGCAATGTTACATCTCTGACAGTTCCGAAAGACTCAACTCATTCTTCTGTAATCTTCTTTACTTTTAAGGACCCTTGTGATTCCCCAGATAATCCAGGATCATCTCCCTATTTTAAGGTCAGCTGATTAGCAACCTTAATTCTATCTGCAGCCTAATCCCCCATTACCTTGTAACATAACAAATCCACAGGCCTTAGGGATTAGAACATGGTCATCTTGCGGGGAGAATTATTCTGCCCACCACAAAAGGATTCATAATTTCTGAAACAAGACATAAACACAAAGGAGAAGATAGATAAAGTCAACTTCATTAAAATTCAGAACTGTGGACATGGTTCCATAGTGTAGCGGTTAGCATATCTGCTTTACACGCAAAAGGTCCTGGGTTCATGCCCCAGTGGAGCCACGGTCCATGGTCTACGGCCATGCCACCCTGAACAAGCCCGATGTCTGATCTTAGAAGCTAAGCAGGGCCGGGCCTGGTTAGTACTTGGATGAGAGACCACTTAGGAAGATCAGGTGCTGTAGGCATAAATAATAATAATGAAAATAAAATTCAGAACTGTTTTCATTAAAAGACACTATAAAGAGAATAAAAAGATAAACCACAAACTGAAATAAAAACATTTACAACCCATTTAATCTTCAAAACATATAAAGAACTCTTACAAATTAATAAAAGACAATATCCTAGGAAAAGTGGGCAAAGGCACTAAGAACATCACCAAAGAGGACTTGCTTGAGGCTCATACACATATGAAAGATGTTCATCCTCATCAATATAACAATGAGACAAAGAACAGTTTTTAAAAATACCAATTGGCAATAATTAAAAAGTTGAACAATCCAAGTATTGGCAAGGCTGTGGAGCACCAAGGCCTGCACTACTGCATAGAGAGCCCAGGTAAACGCCCACATGTGTACGCCAAGAAACATATACAACTGTGTAAAGAGTAGTTATGCATCACAACAAAACTCTGAAAACAACCCAAACATCCATCAGCAGTAGGATGAATAAGTAAACCTGGTGTGCTCCTTCAAGGAAAATAATATATTACAATTATGTACAGATAAATCCCAAAGATATAATAGTGAACAAAGGAAGCAAATCCCAAAAGATTATGTATGATTCCATTTATATAAATTAAAAACAAGTCAAAAGTAAGTTATTTGTTTAGGAAAACATGCAGCGCATGATGAACTCAAAATTCTTTGTGGTCTCCCTCTTGAGCAGGGAAGGACATGCATGGAAGATGCCTGAGGGCTTCTGGGATGTGGTAATGTTCTGTTTTCAGCCTGCGTGTTAAATTCAGTGATGTTTATTATCCCCTAATACACACACACACACATTTCCGAGGATTGATCCTGCCAGGTCCACACACACACACACACACACACACATTTCCATATGCTCTTTTGTATTTTGCTATTTTTCAGTGTTTTAACAGTTCTCTATTATTAGCAGATTTAGAAAAGATCATTTTCTAAAAATTAACTGGCTTTAAATTATTAAGTTCCTAATAAAAATAAGAGATTGCAGTGACCATAAAAAGTAATATATGAATACAAAGCATATTTGTTGTAAACAATTCAAACTCTAAGGGCACTCTTCCCTCTTAATAGTTCAGTGTATATCTTTCTAGAACCCTTACTCTCTCTTCTTCCTCATATGTTATATAGAAATAGGATAATACTATATCTGCTGTTCTGAATTTGGTTTTCAGAATCTGAGAACGTGTAACAACAAGAATGGAGGTAGCATTTACATCCATCAATGTCTCATTTTTAATATCTCATTAAATTAATCTAAAATTTTCTCAGCCCTTTCTTCACATTCCTATTAAATAGTGGCCAACACTCATTCAATGTGGTTGAGAGCACCCTAGATAACTCCAGATCAGCTCTTGAAATAGAAGAACCACTCCTCAAGATTCCAGCTCAGAATGCCAAGAATGTATTCCTCTCGTTGGGAGTGTGGCCCCCCTTGTAGGAAGGAGACTGGGGGACTGGTGTGAAAGTGTGTGTGTGGAGGAGGCTTCCCATCCTGGTTCCCTGACAGTGAAGAGCAGTGATGGCCACCCTGTCCAGCAGCCCACAACCCAAGAGCAGCCTCTGCCAGAGGCCTGCGGTGAAGTCCCAAAGCAGCACTGCGAGAGCTTCGTTCCTACCCTCCTACAGTTCATGCACAGGATAAGGGGTGATTTACCCAGAGAAGAGGCTTCTTTGGCACAAATGCTACTTAGCAGCATATTATCCTTTCCTACGGCAATGTTCTCTGGTACAGATATAGAGTTAACAGGTATTTGATAACAGTGCCAGTAACTAACATTTGTAGAGCAGTTTATAGATCAGTAAGTGCTTTCACACAATCTTACTTAATTCTTACAACACTACAAGGTCTGTATTATGATCTCAGTTTATACAAGGGCAAATTGAAGCTGAGAACGATGAAATGACTTTGCCCAAATTAATGCTGGGCCAACTGTCCAGCCCAAAGATATGGCTGCGAATTTTATAGCGTGATCGAAATGTAAGTGTATGTATGAAAGACTATCTGTTGCTAACAAAATAAAGTGTGTCAAAGCTTCCCACCCAAGAGCCCTCTAATAGTGGTCCCAAATTTCTGTGAGGTGCTTCATCCTTTTTCTGTCACCCAGGATCACTGTGGGCCACCATTCACATCCTTAGTTGTCATAGATTTGTGTATTAACCACATGACAATATTGTGGCAAATGGCAGTAAAGTCTCTTCAGGAGGGCTGAGCTTTTTCTCATGTACAATATCCTTCCATTTGGGCTCAGGGCAGGGATGCTATCAACTCACACTCTGTCTGTCCCCAGCAGAGAGGGTAGCCAGCACCCCTGCTCAGCCCAACCCCTCTACTCCAGTCTGCAGAAGCAGTGGAATGTGTGCCTAGGGCAAGAGGAACAATAAGAAACAAGAATAAGTCAGGCCCCTTCTTTACTTTGTGGAACTCAAGATTCAAAAAAATGAATCAGCAGTGATTAATGCAGAAAATGTAATGAATTTCTGAATACACAGTAGAGGAGCATAGAAAGCCAGATTGAACTCATGTTAAAATACTTGCCCTTCACATGTGAGAGTCTACATTCTCAGCTCCTTTGGATTTAGAAATAGAATGGAGGAAAGTTAATACAGAAGCTGTTGGCATGCCACATAACTGAGGCAAGAGAATGGAAAACCCCAAGCCGTTAATGACAGTTTGCATTTGAGAGTAGACTCTATTGATTGTAAAGGTAGTCTTGGGTTTTGACACTCCTAATTATATGACCATAAGTTAAAGTCTATGGAATCTGATTCTTAAACCTAGAAACTGACTAACTGAAATGGTAGTGTGCCGTGTGTGTGTGTGTGTGTGTGTGTGTGTGTGTGTAATGATTATATCAGTTAGAATCGTTTGAGCCACAAAATAGAGAATTCAGCTAGAAGTATGTGAAACGATAAGGAAAATGTATTATTTCTCACAACAGAAGGTAAGAAAGTTTTAATGTTGGCTAGTGACTTAAAGACCCAGTCTTTTCTTTCTGCTCTGCCAAGTTCAGCTTGTCTGTCTCCTAGTTAACCAAATGGTTAACTAGGTCTCTGGTTAACCAAATGGCTGCAGTACCCTCGGGATCCTGTTCTCATCCAACCGCTCAAGCTGAAATATCCAAAGGCTGGAAGAGACAGCGTCCTGTTCTTGTGTCTGTTTGTAAGAAGGAGAACTTTCACAGAAGCCCCTAGCAAACTTTCCTTTATGTCGCCCTGGCTAGAGTCATGCCAAGTGCCCGTTCCTAAGCCAGTCGCTGCCCCCAGAAATCTTGAAATTAACAAGCTGGCTTAGATTGATCAAGAGGCACCTCTGGGTTGGGGAGGGCTCCGCCTCCCTAAAGCACAGCAGCTCTTGATAACCTGAACAAAATTAGGGTTTTGTTAGCAGGGAAGAATTGAATGGGAGGACAGCCAACAGGATCTGCTATGACGAGAAGACTGTTCAGTTTCACTGTTTCTCCTCATAGGCTCTGCCAACATCAACGACCGAAGCATGCTGGGAAAGCGTGATAGTGAAATGGCTGTCATTGTGCAGGACACGGAGACAGTCCCTTCGGTAATGGATGGTGAAGAGTACCAAGCTGGCCGGTTTGCCCAAGGACTTCGGCTGCAGTGCTTTAGGTGGGGCCTCCAAAGCTGTGTCTCTCTCACCTAGTTCCACCGCTTGAGGTGCTGGTACCCCAGTCCAGCCTCTTGCCTGTAGCACAAATGTCATTATCTCCAGGTTCTTGGTCTAATACAGTGTCTCCCAGCATAAGGGATGTGCATGCATTACCAGAAGTATGCAAAATGACTTTATGTGGGACACAAACATTTTCTATTTTAATTGTTTTTATTATGTTTACATATAATAGAGAAAGCTAGCATTTTAAATTTATTAATGGATTTAGGACCAGGTCCGGGCAAACCATCTAGTGTCTCTTTAAGTTTTTTATAGTGAGTCCACTTTTAGAAATTGAAATAGTTCCAGTAATACAAGGATGTAATAAAAATTAAAGGAGGATGCCGGAGACTAGCAGGGTTCAATTTAAATATGGAAACTAGTTCTCAGATTTAAGATGACTCCGGACATGGAGGATTCCTGATCTCCTGGAAGAAGATGTGAGTTTTAAACAAATCTATACTCAAGCAGAGAGAACACAAGATTAAGAAGCAAAGGCTGAGTGGCCTTAAATGAGTCCTTCATTTAATTATGACTGAGAACTTTCTAGGTCTGGGCTCTAAGTGGCTCCGCACCAGCACCAGTCGGCTAGTGATCCTTCGAGGACCTAACTCTGCTCATGCTCTTCAGTGGCTTCTTATCTCATCTGGGCTCACTCTCCCCCTCACTCACAGCAGACATGTGCTGAGCTCCCACTGCCTGTTGAACACTCCGACCACTCTCCCACCTCTAGTCTATACCTGTGAGTCCACAGGTCTATGATCCTAGAACTGCATTTGCCAGGATGGTATTTCAGTGTGGCCTCTACAGCAAGTGTCCCCAGTTGAGGACGACGCTTTAAGCTATTTGGGGAAAGGCACTGCACAGATACACGTGGCAGTGCTGTTGCTTTAACCCTTCTCATGTTAAAGGTCTCATTTGGAAACTGGTTCGCTCACAAATTGCACATTATGAGCACTTCACTTCCTGCAAATGCCATGGTCGTTCCCCTCATTCCTAACTCCAAACTAAGCATCAGTTCAGAGAAGGTTCAGGCTACTCTCTCTGCTCCGGGAGCTCAGCAAATCCATCCCCCAAAATCTGATAGTCGATACCTTCTCACAGTTGTTATTGCTGTATTTATGGCCTTTGTTACTAATTGTTTCGCCAGTAAGATTTTTTAAAAAATCTTTGATATTTTAATTAGCTTCTAATGTGTTTTGTTTATTAGGGGGGAGTTTAAAATTAGTACCCTGTTAATCAACCCATTGATAGCCTACAGCAGCATATATGTAAGGAAACCAAAGTGTTTTTTTTTTTAAACTATGGGGTCTTTATAACTATGTAAATGCATAATAATTACACAGGAAGAAAATCGTGATTGCAGTATATTTTTATTGTAGGAAACTTGGCAAACACAGAAAGCGATTAAAAACTTAAATTTATCTCTAATTCCACCACCCAGTGCTAACAATTTTAACATTTGATGTATATCATTCTACTTTTTTTCTATACATATATGTATTACTATACTGTATTTCTTTTTTAAAAACATAATTAAGATCTTACAGTTCTATGAAGTTCTTTATTATTTAAATAACGTTACATACACTTTTCCATGTCATTAAGTATACTGTAACATTTGATGGCTGCATTTTTTATATCCTATGAGTATGCCATAGTTCCTGTAACTAACACCTCACTGATAGGCAGATTTTTCACTGATATAAAAACTGGGTATGTTTGTAGATAGCATCTTGTTTACCTTCTTGTTTCCTTAACAAAATCCTAATTATAGACTTTCTAGTCAAAGGAATTGTTCAGTGTCCTTTGCCCTCTAACTCCCTGTTGTATCACTAACAATGTTTTAGAGGGCTTATTCCTTCTGTCTTTTCTGAGTTCTATTATTTTACTTAGTCTTTGCCAATTTGTTGGATTTCAAGTGGAATTTCATTATTTTAACGTGAATTTTTTGGTTTCAAAAAATGTATTCATTAGCCATCCATAATTGTTCTTTTGTAAATTGTCTAGCCTATTCATGTCCTTTGTCCAGTTGAAACGTTTCATTTTCTTTTAATGATTTATAAGTGATTTAAGTATACAAGAGACTAATTCCTATGTCACATTTGTTGCAAATCTGATTTGTCAATTGCCTTTTAATCATATTTAAAGTATTTGGGGAAAACTTCAATTCTTATTAATCAAATCTATTAGTTTTTTCTCCCTCTCCCTTTATACGCTTAGAATAGCTTTCTCAGGCCAAGATCAAATATTTACTTATATTTTCTTATACTGTTTATTTGATATTACTTTTTACATTTAATATCTGCAATTTATTTTAATGTAAGGAAAACTCTATTTTTTCCCTAACCAGCAATGGACCCAGAACAGCATGACATGCAGTACTCTTTGCCTCTCTTACCTGCAGTGCCTCTTTATGATACACTGAATGGCCATGTCCTGACTTATCTCTAGTCTCTCCCTTATGTTCTGCTGAAAGTCCGTTTACCGGCGGTGTGATACCATTTTAATTGCTATAGTTGTACACTTTGATACTACTTCTTGACATACCACTTCCCCACATTAGTATTCTTTTCCCAAATAATCTTAAATATTCATTCTTCCACATGAAATTTTGAATCATTTATTCAAGTTCTCTCATTAGTTTTTTTTTATTGGCATTATAGTGGATTTTTAGATTAATATAAAAAGAATTGCCATCTTTATAATATTGAGTCATCCTGTTAAAGTACAAGGTATAGGCTTCAATTTATTCAAATTTTTTTTGTTTATTCTTCAATAAAACTTTATGGTTTTTATTATGGGGGTAGGGGTTGTTCTTAAGTAATCATTAGAGTTTTATTTTATTTTTTTATGCTGATCCTATTTGTTTCATGCTAAGTTTATTCCTAGATACTTTTATTTTCCTGGCAGTTTTCAAACTCTCTTAAAGAGGCAGTTGTTCTTGAACAATTATTTTCACTTTGCCGCAATGACAAACACAGATAATATATTTTAAAATACCACAAAAACCTTGTGTCAATTTTAGCATATTTTTATTAGGAAATAATTCCCAGAGATAAATATCATGCCTTAGAACACAGCCATTTTTTTACCTTAAAAAAATGCAACTTCAATCCATTTTCCATCTGGACAACTTTTGAATAAATATAGACACATTTTAATCTGAAATCAATTCTAAATAGAATCAACCATCAGGGTACTGCACTGAGTGTCACAACTATGTGCTGAACAGTTCATTGAGTCCTAGAAAATTATCCAAGCTTTACAGATATAACCATCACTCAACAGAAACCATTATCCACACAAATAGAGTTGGAATCATGTAAAGTGGAAAGAACAGAAACCGTTTTCTGCAGTTTTCCTACTGTCCTACTGATGCGTAAACAATTAGACATTAAATACCATTAATATGTCAACATAAAATCAAACTAGTTTTCTCTGAACCTTAGTCCTCAAAAGTTAATACCCAGAGTACTTCATATTGTTTTTACTGTGCATTTTAATGTAAGTTTCTTATAATTAAACTGACAGGGAAAATAGCTTATTATTAGATATTGTCTGTAATAGACTTATTTAAATACTTTTTCTACATATAAACTCTTAACTGATAACTTGATAGATACATTGCCTTACTTCTTATTCTAATTTAAAAGCAAAGTCACAGAAATATTTCGCTCAGTTTTTAGATAGTTAGACCTGACGCAAATCAAAGATATTATTATAATTGACATATTGTTATAATTTATACTGTCCCTCAAATTTGGTGCAGTAAAATTTAGTTTTGGAGTCTTAAAATGAGCAGCAGCAGCTGTGTGCAAACATCATCCCTTTAGACCTTTTTGAAAGTTATTCCTATACTGTCTGAAAGGGACATTATTCGATGTGGAAATAGAATTTTGAGGTTATAAAACTCTAAGATTCCTGGTGAGCCCATGGTGCCAGATTCATTTATTTCAAAGAATTTTTATATAACAGAAAAAGTGCAGACTAAAACTAAAGAATTTTTATATAACAGAAAAAGTGCAGACTAAAACTAAAATTTTATCCCTATACAACTGGCTGAGCTTTTCCAGGAGTTAGTAATATCAGAGACGGCTGGAACTACATGCATGGTCAATAGTGCATGTGTTGGAACAGCCTTTCTTGAAGTAAATTTTGCATATTCTTTAACCCAGGAATTTTCATTCTAAAATTTCTCCTAGTGAAATAATAAGAGATATTCACAACATTTTATATGTGATGAATAAATTATGTTTATTATAGCATCATTTATAACAATTGAAAACTGGAAACCACTCAAAAGGCCATAATAAAATAATTGGTTAAATAAATTTCACATAATCGAGATTTGGCAGCCATTAAAAGTGATGATGTAAAACTATATTCATTTTAATACAAAGAGGGTAACAATATAATGACCTCCACACCGTTAAATCCAATGGTCATTTCTCATCTGAATTTGATCTACTTTGTATGGTTCCAGAATACCACACCCTTTGGCTTTTCTCCAGCCTTGATGGCTCATCCTGTCCCCTACTGTTGAGGTGCAGTGGGTCCTCTTTTTTGTCTATACTCACTCGTTTTGGTAAACTCAGTTAAGTTACATGGCTTTGTGAATATATATAGATATATATGTGGACAATTCTCAATGTGTATCTCTAGACAGGCCTTCTCTCCCAAACTCCAGATTCATTTATCCAACTCCACTGCTCAGCATTGCCACTTGAATATTTAATAGATATCTCAATAGGGTCAAAATTGAATTCCTGGTCTTCCCTCACAAACCGGCTCTACCCACAGAATTGCCCATCTCAGCTAATGGCAACTATGTTCTTCTAGTTGCTCAAGCCAAAGCCCCACTGGCCATCCTTGATGCCTCACTTTTCTCACACCTATACCTACGCCAATAGAAAACTTGTTGTCTCTACCTTCCTCTGCACCGCCAAGGCACCGCCAAGCCACCACCATTCCTTACCTAGATTACCACATTAACTCCTAACTAGTCTCCCGTTTCAACCCTTGCTGTGCACAGTCTCTTCTCAGTATTTTAACATGTAAGTCAGAATCTGTCACCCCTTTGCTCCAGGGTCTGCAACATGTCCCTGTTTCACACAGTGTAAAAGCCAAAGTCCTTCTAAGTTCTATTTCTCCACTTCTATTTCCAATGTAGTATAATCCCTTTTGGAATTCTTTGAACCTATCAGGCATGTGAGAAAAGGGCTTTGGACTCAGCTTGAATTCTAGCTCTATTACCAATATGTCTTCAAACTTTAGTTTCCAATCTGCAAAATTGGAATCATGTATAATCTACCTCACAGAGTTCAGGTAAAAGTACTTTTTAACCCTAAGGCCTTCTATAAGTACAAGGTTTTCTTGTTTTATAATTTTCAAATATGACCTCTAAACTTGTCTTACTTTGTTTGAGAATTTCTTGTTATTTCTAGTACTTTGTTTATATATGATCAATTCAGACAACATCTAGTATGTGGCTTCTTTTATGCCAGGTACTCTGTGGATGTGAGTATAGACAGGTCATACTCTCTCAAAGAATTTACAAGCTAAAAGTGTGAGTTGGGCCAGTTAAAAACAAAAGTGCATAAAGTGTTGCAAGTGCTCTGATAAAAACAAAGCATATATGAATTATAGTGGGAACAAAGGAAGAATGTTCAGATCTCCAAGGAATGACAGGGAGAAATGGGAGACTGGAGAAGGGGGAGCCATAAAAAAAGTTTTATAGAGGTGAGCTTGTACTAAACCCTAAAAGGTGGGAAGTGGGGTTAGGCAAACAGACAGGAGAAGGAAAACCCTCTCTAAATACTCCCATCTCCTACTCTTAAAGCACACCTGGTGTTTATCAAAATTTTAATTAAGTTATTTAAAGGTGATTATGTATTAGTTGTTTATCTCACCCACCAAATTTAAATCTACTCAGAGAGGCTGCATGTCTTTTGTATTCATTTCTCTACCCTAGAGTTCAGCATAGTTCTTGGCCTGAAGGAAGGAAGGAAAGGGGAGGGCAAAGGAGGGAGCTGTATGACCTTGAATAAGTTACTTAACTTCTCTGTGCCTTAATTCCCTTACCTATAAAATGAAGATAATAATAGTTGCTTTTTCATAAGGTTATTGAGGATTTACTGAGATAGCTCTTGGAAAGGGCTCAGCACTTTTGCTGCTACATGTTGTGAATGCTAATCTTGTCCTCCAAGGTTCTCACCCCCCTCCCCACCCCCGCAGGCCAGATTACAGGAACACTCTTAGAACAAATTAAGGCCTTCCTCTCTGTCCAACAATTAAAATTTCCAAGCATTGTAACAGCTTAAGGTTTTGTTTGTTTTGCTTTGTTTTGCAACTTAGGTTTTTTATATACAGACACAGACACACATACACAGTTTTAATAGCTTCCTTTGATTTCCTTTTTTTAAAAAAAGCTTGCTTGCCTAAATGACTTTACCAGTAGTAACGATGCCTGTGGCAAACTGTTGTATCTCAGTTACTCAGTTTGGAGGGCACTTGTATTTCAGGGTTGTCCTTGGCTATCTTTCTGATCCAAGTGAGGACATTCAGGATCCAGTGAGTGACAAATTCTTCAAGGAGGTGTGGGTTTCAACAGCAGCTCGAAATGCTACAATATATGACAAGGTAAGTCTTGCATATACCCACCCCCCCCTTTTTTTTTCATTATATCTCATCACAAAAACACATCATTATTTCTGCATATTATTGATAGAGTATTCTTAATGAGTGTAAAAAATGATTCACCTCCGAGTTGTAATAAAATACCTCTTTGTAGACATTAGAAAACAAAGAGTCAAAAAACATCATGGATAATGGTTTAGAAGAGACTTTACAGGCATACTGATCTATAATTCCTATCACGAGCATCCTTAGCAGGTGGTTTCCCAGCCTTTGTACAAGTCTAGTGACAAAGAGAAAAGAGGCAGATGGGATCGAAAAATGAGCCAGACCTGGGTTTAACCCAACTCACCCAGTTGCTGGTGATAAAACTTTGTATATAATGACGACATTCTGAGCCCTCTGTACAAGACTTAAGAGCTGTCTAGCAGTGGAACAGGTTATTTCATGAAGTAGCCAGTTTTCCATCATAGCAAATATTTACACTGAGATCCCTTGACCGTCTATCAGATATTGGTTAAGAGTATGTTCTTCTTCATGACTTCCTAATGAAACATGACAACCATCTACATATTATTTCATACTGAGGACTCAAGGCCATGATTAAGTAGGTCATGTGCATGGAGTTTTTTAAAATGTAATTTTAAGAACGCAGTGCACAGCTTTGTTTGGATCCTAGATTGGGAGCGGGTAGATAATAACTATAAAAGATATTTGGAGGACAATAGTATAAATCTGAATATGGACTATATCTTAAATGACATGCAATTGATTCTCTGAGGTGTGAGAGTGGTATAGGCACATGTTCTTTTTCTTAAAAAACATGCTGAAATATTTAGGTGTGAAGTGTTAATGATGTCTGAAACTTATTTTCAACTAGCAAAATAAGTATGTAATTGATAAATCTAAATATACAGTTATGAACATTTTTCTAAATAAAAAGTTAGAGAAAATAAATTATACAATTTTTCTCTTAGGCTAGAACCTCCAGTGAAACTAAGGCATGATTATTATCCAGAAAATTACCCTTAATGTGGAATAACACCAGTGAATTTTTTTACCACGAGCTTGAATTTATCGTGGGGTTAATGATTTGTGTAGAACAGGTATAAGGATCTAGTTATGATTTTTTTTTGATGGAAGCCAATCTAGCAGTTTCTTTATAGCAAATAAGAGAAGCAACTCTTCAATCAGGTCGGTGCTATAGCAAAAATAACGTTTTATAAAGTAAAAATTGTTTGTGGGAATGAGTATTTTCCAAAAAGGGGATATGCTTTCTTTTAAACTTATCACTCAGTTTCCTCTTTGTGTTTTAATCAGGTGTTCCGGTGCCTTCCCAATGATGAAGTACACAATTTAATTCAGCTGAGAGACTTTATAACCAAGCCTATATTAGCAAAGGAAAATCCCATTAGAGCTGAAGAAGAACTGAAAAAGATCCGTGGGTTCTTGGTGCAATTCCCTTTTTATTTCTTGTCTGAAGAAAGTCTACTGCCTGCTGTCGGAACCAAAGAAGCCATAGTGCCCATGGAGATTTGGACTTAAGAGTTATATTCCCTTGCAGCTCAAGGACTTACACTCTAAAGAGTACACTGCACACAGTGACTTTCTGGAGACCTAACAGCCTAAGGCAGCCCAATGTACTCTTACATGCAACCCATGGACCCTATGGGTTGGCTGGGAAGGGCTTCAGTCACATTGATATAAGGACTCTGAACATCAGCAATGCTTTATCATTCCTCCTGCCTTTCCTTAAGGAAAAGACTGCATTCTTATTGGCAGCACACACTCAAGTTAAACTATTCCTCAAATGCTATGATGTACACCAAAGTGCATTTCCTTTACTAACACGAATTTACTTATAACTGTGGTCTAGGTTGCCAAAAGTTGTCTGAACCTCCTTATTCTTCCCTGACCCTCATTTATGCAACTGGACCTGCCTCATTTCACAGTCCATACAGGTGCTGTTTGAGATCTTGTTTATTGCTAGAAGAGACCATGATGCTGCTTCAAAGCTCTTCAGGGTCACATGGAAGTCCATCTAGTCATGAAGTACTAATGTTCTCCCAAGCAAGGATCTGGTCATTATTCCTTTTCAGTGACTAACACGACAGGACAGACTTTAGTGTACACAGCAGCCTGTGTTAGGGACTTTGGATAACATTGACACTGTATAATATATATCGACACCACAGAGCAACAGGAAGGAATTAAATTCAGTTGTCGAGGTAGAGATTTCACTTTGCCTCCAAAGGCACTGACAAGATGTATCCTTCTGGTAGGGCGCACCTGATCTAATTTGAAAATGTAGGTAGGATATGTGATTGCACAGCATCTGATAAAACTCAAAGACAAAGCGTGCAGCCTTCAGAAACCTCCAAGGTGTCTGATCCACCGAAAAGAAGATTCCTTAGAGTCCTATAAAATTTCCTGTCATCCATAGCTGCTGGATTGGTTGAAATTTTAGTTTTTATGTTTTAAAATCAAACCAGTGAATACAATTTGTCTTTCCAGAAAATCAGCACCTTTATAACTTCTACTAAGTTAATAAGAGCCTAACCTTATTTGACATTCAGCTCTCCAGCTATGTTAGCTTCTTAAAGAAAAATTAATCAATTGCAAAATATGTGCTATTTCACTTGCATTATTAAATATACATTAACATTCCACCAGGTCTTCTGAAGAGGTTAGGATAGTTATTAATTCACATTGTCCTAGTTTGTGAATTGTTCTGGAAACCCGTTTTTCTTTTTTGGATGTTAGAGTACTCTTTGCTACATCATAGCTCTAATTTTACTAAGTAGACCTATTCTTATAGCCTGAAGACCTAATGTGGGTCCCCTAAAGTCCTATGCTCATAAACTATGGGTTAGGTGCAATGCTTACACATCTATGGATTACCTGGACAGACTCTCACTTGAGTTGTTCAGAGGAGCAAGGATCCAATCCCTGTTTTCATGGAGCTAATAGTCCAGTGGAAAAGGTTAAATAGGAGCACAAAGTCAGTGATCTGGGTTAGTAGGAGAGAGAGTGTCACACCTAGGAGAGGATTACACAGCTAGAAAACATTTCACAAATGAGGTGGGACTATGAAACCAACAATGAAAATGAGTATGCTTTTATGAATAAATAACTTTTTTTCTTAGAGAGCTGAAGACGGTAAAATGACTTCATTCTCTAGCAATTATAAAGGAGACATTTGCTATTTATGAAGTTTGGATTGGCGTTTAAAGTTTTGAGTGTATGTGGAATGGACTTAGGATTTCTTACATTTTATTTTTAAATATTTTTTAAACTATAGAACAGTCAATAAACTGGCTCTTGATTTTGTGCAATAGTCTCCCATAAAACCATGAAAAATGAGAACTTGAAAGAGACCTTTTCCTTAAAAAAATCACCTAATTCAACCTCTCCCCATTTTATAGATGAGGAAACTGAGGCCCAGAGTAGTTGAAGGACTCACTTAAATTTACTTAACTTAGAGATAGTGAACTGGGAACTAGTAAAATTGCCACACTCCATTACTGGCCTGTTCTTTCACTTTATCATTACTCCCAAATGAGGAGCTGCAGTAAATAGATTTCAGACAGGATATTTCTAAGCTATTCTGAACCCTGCGATATTACGTATTTAGGTGTTTATCCATCTCCCCAGAGCCAGGAATAGTGTCTGGCACATAGGAAGTGCTTAATAAATGTTTGTTGAGTGAATAAACAAGGTGGAGGAGATAACTAATGAAATGAAAAACTTAGACAAGAAGTCTTACTGCTAGTTCCTGTGGCAAGTCATTTTGTTGTTTGTTTGTTTGTTTGTTTGTTGTACTACATCTTCTCAAAGGCAAGATGTTCATCTGCAAAGAGGAGAGGCTACAAGATTTACTTGGATGGATTTTATAAAAAATTCAGTGCAATAATTACCTATTTTGTAATAACAGTTTACATAGTGCAGCATTATGCAAAAATCGAATGAGATGTGGACACAAGTGTACTGTATGGCCGAATTATCCACTATTCTCTAACACCATTACTACCGAATTGCAAATAATTTATCTTTAACATTGCGATGTCTGATATAAGCTTTAAAATGCAAATGATTCAAAGCCTTGAAAAACTATTATGAATCAGTTCAACACTTCAACTTGACTGTAATCTTTTGAAACGTCTATAAATGCTGTACCTGACACTCTGCTAGTCTCTGTAATAATTTTTGTTTCCAAGAAGGAAAATTGTAGGAGTAAAAGAAAAGAAAGGTATAAAGTGGTCATGGCCTATTAAAGCTATTTGGATTGAGCGAGCTTAGTTGTTGGGGATACTCAACTCAGCAGGTCTGGTGCAGGCATTTGCTCTGTGTCAAGTGTTCTCTCAGTGACTTACCCTTCAGTGGCATGTTCTGAATTCTCAGCTGTAATGCATCACAGAGAGGGTTGGAGAGCTGGTCATTAGGTAATTGCATGGCATATTATAAAACAAAATATTGGTTTTATTACCAGCTTTGGAAGAAAATTTTGTCTATGGGTAGTCAAAACAAAGCAGTTAATCTCTTATATCATAACTTGGAAACTTGTAATATATCATATGTGTTAACAATTTTCCAGATGAAAACAGCAAGCCAAGAAGTCTTTTGTAAGACTACGGGCAGAACAGCTTTTCTTTGCTGCACGTCATGAAGAGCCTGCGCTTCTTTCCACGTCTCATTTCTTATTCCTTCAACCTTTCTCCCCAACCAGAATGCCTCTGTATTACGTAAACCATTTTAGAGGACAAGAAGATTTTCTGGAAAACATAAAATTGGGCCTTGACAATAAATCTTCAGTTTAACTTACACGTGTAAGCGACTGTCTAAATATTATTTTTTAACAGAAGTAATCATTCTTTTTAACATCCCTGATCTGATGTGGCACTTGCGCATTTTCGGATGCCTGTCACCTTGTGTAGCAGCGGGTAAAGACACTTCGTGATTTTTCATCCCTTTTTATTCTTTCTTTATATAAAGTGAGCAAAATGCTAAAGGATTTTAAGTATGCATTGGAATACATTTTTATTTCCTTGGAAGATCCTCAGAGGCCAATTACTACTGGAAGTTTGGAGGTTTAAAATGGGTTTTACTAGGCATAGACCTTGAGAAATTCTTGCATCCAGAAATTCACTGGTAAAGGAATTTGTCAGCATCTATCAAAAAAGTTGTAGGTGAAGAATCAATGGAGTGTGTGTGTGTGTGTGTGTGTGTGTGTGTGTGTGTGTGTGTGTTTGGTGGGGGCGGATACCATAATACGATTCCTAATGGCATTTAATTCACATGTGAAATATTTCTGGCTTTGACTTGAGGATTCATTAAAGGAACCAAACATTTTAAGTTATTTTAATTTTATACCATTTTTAATTTTTAACGTAAAACCAAAAAGTAATCAAACATAAGATGAATGAAAATTTGTCACATTAACTTTAAACTTTAAAGTTTTAAAGTTAGAAACTAGATGGCAATCCGACCAAAATGCGGGCTTAATTACTCTCACTTCCCAAGCAGCTACAATTGTTCTCTTTATTCTAGATAAATGACCTTAAGTGAATTTCATCCTAGTTCAGTTGGATGCTAGGAAAAATAACCTCCTAATGTGTATCCCACTTGAATTCTTCACATAAAATGGTCTGGCCCAAGAGTAGTGATATTCTCCTCAACCATTCTAAAAATTCATACCAAAGTGTTACAGTTGGAGCACAATGTCTCGCTGACACAAAAACCAAATACTTGGTAATGAACATCCATTCAGAATATTCAGATATTCTGGACAGAACTTGGGCTCCTAGCCTCACCTTTATGACAGTGTTTGGCAAACTAAGGCTGGGTTTCCTGTTTTTGTAATTAAAGTTTTACTTGAACAGAGCCATGTCCATTCATTGACATGCCTTCATGATCAAATGATCCGCAAATCCCCTCTCTAGAGGAAGGATCAGGTGAGTGAGCTTTTCTTAAAGATGATAAGAGAGCAGAGAATGTCCAGATATAGTACCTCACCCAAACAAATTTGGTGAGTTTCAATCTCTCCAGTAAATAGGTTTTCAAATCACCCTATCCCTGAGCTCAACATTCTATAATAGATTTATTCTAAAAACAGGGTCAAGTCTTTTCAGGAATGAAAATCATATTTTTTTAGTTATGGAAAGAGATGTTGCTAGTTAAAACAGGCTTCTCCCCAGCTGAGCACTCATAGGCAAGCATGGCTGATGATGTTTGTAACTGAAGTGCTATATAAAAGAGGGTGGCTAGGCATAAGGGTTTGTATTCAGAATGAGAAATGTGAGTTCAAGAAATTCAGTTTCCCTGGATTTTCCTTCTGCAAAGCACTGGAAATGATAAATATATCTATTCCCTGCTTCACAATGCTTTCTATGCTTAGTCTCTTAACTGCTTTCTTTTAATGTAAATATTCATTAATCGCTTAAAAGTGTGAAATTAGCAGTGACCATCTATTTGAAAACAAGAATCATCATTCTGCACGTGGGGGTTTCAGAGACAGTGTGCGTATGTCTGAGCTGGAGACAGAACTGTATGCCCGTGAAGCCCTACTCCACACACTGCAAAGGTTGATTTTAGAGTCATAGCATGCCCTCCCGTTCCCAACCCTATCTCACCTATGAGGTGCGAGATGCAGCTAATTTCTTTTGAAAGACCAATCTGCCATTCGGCAGCACAGAATGGGCAAAGTCCAGTGGGGATGCTGGGGTGCGTCAGTGAACTAGTCAGACCAGGCGCCCCGCCTTTGTGGTACTCATATTTTAGTAAATGGGGAGTGCAAAGTTATTTCCATTCTCAAAATAAGAAAGTGCCTAAAATAGGAGGCATTTGGAAACAGCTGTGGAAATTTTACCAAGCTGAGGAGAACAGCAAAAGCTGGAATATGGTAAATGTTAGCCCCTGAGGAACTAGGAAGCAACATTATTACTACTACTACCAATACTAGTATTGACAATAGCTAACATTAGTGGCTTTGTTGGCCAGGGCCTCTTCCCGGGAAATCTCTCCAAAGCAAACCTGGATGGTTTCTCACCCTATCAGCATGGTAGCTCACCGCCACATGCAGATGGTCACCTCTGTCCTTCCTCTCTCAAGGGAAGCTAAGCGCTTTCTCTAGGGATCATGTCCCATCTCCTCTTCAGCTTTCATCTTCAGGAATGAGTGAGACATTGACTTAATCCCCTTCAAAAGCTGTTACTTCCCCCCAGGAAAATAAAGTGATGGAAGTTGGGCATCCAAGGTGGAAAGTGGGGTAGATATATATACATATATAAGGAGTTAAACACCTTGATGTACAAAAATTGCAGGTCAGAAGTGGAGCAAAGACCTTTTTCTAGCAAGTCAAAAGCAGCCAAAAAAATAGAACATAGTAGATAATTTTTTTTCACTTCTTTGTTCATAACTTATCTTGTTCAAAGAGAATTAAGAAATTTGGTAAGAAATCCAGTGTTAAGAATTCCAGTTACCAGGGGGAGGGGTGAAGGGTGGGGGAAAGTAGATGGGGTAAAGGGGGTCAAATATGTAAGAAAAAAAATCACAAAAAACATAAAGAATTCCAGTAAGAAATCCAGGTAAGAACGCCAGTGTGAACTAGGACGGTCTTTTGCTGCTATTTGTGATTGGCAGGTTTAGACCAGCATGACTTCTTTCCTCTAATTTTCACTGAGCTTGGCTCCAAACTAGGTTGGAGCTTTAACCAGGCAAAGCTGGTAGGACTTATCAAAACTCCTTCAACCATGTAGAGGGGCCCAGAGCATCTCTTTAGGCCCTGGTTCTACCTGCTCTCTGTCTAGTCTGAATGTGCTTATTTGTCTATATTACCTCTTGCTGGTTTTGGTGTCTTTCTGTCCAGTCCCTTCACACTGATGCTTAGGACTGGTTCTTGCTTATTAACTCTGCTGGCCACTGGCCCACCCCAACCTCATACTCAATCCAGGCTTCTGGAACTCCAGCCTGGAACCTGAGCCCAAGACCCCCGATTATTCAAGACAGAGTTAAGATATATGGAATAGCATAATTCTGGCCTCACGAGCATTTAGTAATGGTTAAAGTTCCAACCTAGACCTGGTCCCAAGCTTTGTCCCTATTCCTATATCTTCAATCAACTCTATTAGGGATTCGCTGGGCTGCCTGTATGGTGCTGATACTTTCTCTCTCCCTATTTTAAGCCAGGAAGATTTGCCAGCTCTTAGGGGTACCCCAGGGTTATTCTAGAAGGCTAAAAAAAATGAGAATTTGTGCAGCCCAAAACCCAGTTGGATTTGTAAACATAGGACTTCATGTGGAAGAACAGAAAACTGCTAAGTGTTCTTACTCCTAGTCCTCTGTCATTCAGGAAGGCAAGATGTAAAAAGAAAAGTTTCTCCAAAGTGGGCTTCATGAGGTAGAATTAATGATCTCGATAAGAATCT